GCACTTCTTTCCTATTAGACGATGACCTGAGATACAATATTACTTCAGGAAACAATTTAATAATTTTCTTATTGTTTTTTACGTTGGTATTTTTTGTGACCTTTTGATATTGATGCAACATTTCATTTTCGATGGACGACATCTCCAAATCCATGTAGGTGCCAAGTTATGCATATAGTTTTCTTGTCCTCATGTGTATAGTAGAATTTTTCACCAACTCAGACTTTAAACATGCCTAAGGATTTGTTTTGTCCTTCTAATTTTGGTGGTTTATGTGTCTTATACATGGGTGTAATTAGCGACTCTGTGTATTATATAGGGCAATATTTGTTTCATTTGGCTGCTATTGTATTTGCATGTGTAATCCTTTTTCATTAAGTTTAAACACAAGTTAGTTTTTTTTTAAGGTTGAGTTATAATGAGATAACTCAGTGCACCTGTACAGACGTGTGATGATTTATTTGAATTTTGTTTATATTTTTTTAATTGTACCATGAAATATTACCATTTTGAAAGCTACTTTGATAAGTTATTTTTTAGACTTAAAATTTGCATTTTGCAACTGGAAGTTGTTGATTTCTTGTAGTCACCTCATACTTGTAATTGATGCTACTGGTTGGAAGTGATAAGTGATAACCTATTATGCTACTTATAAATACATTATTTTTTATACTGCCCTATTCATCTATTTAATAATGATTTAAATTAAAACTGAAGATTTCATGCCATTTGGTCAACTAAGGGGGCAAAGACACAAAATCTTAACATTTCAAGGGAGAATAAAAAAATTTACAGGGGGTAAACCGAATCTCGCTAACATTACGGTGGCTAACGTATATATAACCCAAAGAAGAATAAAAACATATATAGGGTCTTGTCCCGTATCACAAATTACATACAGAAATCCTGCTTTTATTGAAAACAATCTTGCTAAATTTTATCCACTAAAGGTGAGACACGATGAAGATGTTAAAAATATGTTTGTTAGTCACGAACATTCTGAATTCAACTATATTGAGTTATATATTTGTTTCCAACAATCTCACCCCCTCAACAATCTCAGATAATTGATCAACTTGTCTCTGATGAATTTGAAGTAGAATACTTAGATGAAGCTGAAGCTGAAGCTGAAGTCAACGTCATTGATGATAAAAAATAAGAATGTGAGACACATAGTGATAATTTGTTGAACACCAACATTGAATATTACGATCATCACAATCAATTACCTTTAAGCATGTATATTGTCCGCCTCTACATATGACAAATTTGAACTTGCATAACGATGAGCCATCCTTTGATATTTTTTACAACCTGTATATGCAGTCTGAGGGTGAGTTAAAAGTGGCAGACAGGTTGCACACTAAATAAGACAGTGTGTGAGCTGTTAAAAAATTTCACATGGATAATTCAGCTGATTTTAATGTTTAATTCACTGATGCGAGAATACATGCCATTCATTATCGTAACATTAATTACAAGTTTTGACTGGTTGTGACTCACAGGAAGATAAGTGATTCTTGGGAGATAGTTTCTATAGATCCACCTCACAATTGCAATGCCACTAATATTGTACATGATTACAGAAAATTAAACGTTAAATTAATATGTTAAGACATTTTTGCCACTTGTTAACAAGGACCCATCAGTGAAGGTGAGTATAATAATCTCCCATATCGTGACATGATATAATTATACTCCCTCATACAAGAAAGCATAGATTATAAGGACAAAGGTTGTTGAACAAGTATACGAAAACTAGGAAGATTCCTACAAACAACTGTCATGATATTTGGTGGTACTCAAGACATATGCACAAGGAATTGTTACAATTATGGAGACATTACCTACATTTACGCCAGATGGAACTTGTGTTGGTGGAAATAGAATATTTCACCAACTCTTTTGGGTGTTTCAACCATGCATCAAAGGTTTTTCATTATACAAACCTATTATACAAATTGATGGAACATGGTTATACGAGAAATACAAGGGCACCTTACTTATGGCTGTTGCAAAAGACGACAACAATAATGTCTTTCCCATTGGCTTCACTTTGGTTAAGGGTGAGACCGCTGGTGGTTGGAGTTTCTTTCTCAAGAATCTCAAAACACTCATTGCTTCATAAGCAAATCTCTGTTTGATTTCATACATATATGCTTATATTGAGAGTGCTTACAATAATCATGATAATGGATGGCATAATCCTCTTTCTACCCATGTATATTGTATTAGACATATCACAGAAAACTTCATGGGGGGAATTAAAGACAAGGAGCTTCGCAAAAAATGGTGAATGCAAGCTACGCTCTAACTAAGCCATCATTTCAACACTATCGTGACGAAATTAAATTATTAAATATGGATGCATTAAGGTGGGTGGATAACATTCCATTGAAGAAGTGGACAAGGGCATTTGACGGAGGATGCCGATGGGGCCACATGATAACAAATCTTGTGGAATCCATGTATGACGTCTTCAAAGAAATTAAAAATCTACCGATAACCGCATTGGTGAGAACAACCTATTTTAGGTTGGCATTACTTTTTGCAACCAGAGGCGAAAGATGGAGTGCACTATTAAGGTCAGGTCAATTATTCAGTGGAAGCTATATGAAAATGATAAAAGCAGAAAATATCAAAGCTGGCACACATGCAATTACAATCTTTGACTGTCATTGACAACTTTCAGTGTACAAGAAACAATGAACCACAATAAGGGGAGGCTAAATTTAGCCTATGTTGTCAAACTAAACAAAGGTTGGTGCGCTTGTGGAAAATTTCAGGCATTCTGCATGCCTTGGTCTCATGTCAATGTGGCATGCTCGTATACTCTCAAGGACGTTTATAACCATCTATTCAATGTTTACAAGGTCATTAATATTTTGAATGTATACAACGATAGCTTTCCGGTGGTAGCAATGGATGAATATTGACCTACATATCAAGGGGATATAATTTGGAACAACGATGAGATGCGAAGAAAGAAAAAAGGGTCTCTCTAATAGTACGCATATTAGAACAAAGATGGATACGACTGATAAAATGATAAGATTATGTAGTATATGTCGTCAACCCAAACTTGATCATGAAAATTGTCCCAATGTCGGAGCAACCTCTGCATCATAATTTATTTTTTCATTTTAATTTGTGTAACCTTGGTATTTGATATATATAATAACTTATGGTTACAACAAAATTAACATAACAAATATCACACAAACTTAAACTCGCACCCACAACAACACAAACAACACTTTAACTCAAACACACTTAAGAACAACAACACAAACAACAAAATATAAGACTTAATACATCACACGACAACATCTCTACGATATGACAACAATAAAAACAATTTCATCTGACGCATATATCATATCCGTAACATCATTGTCATCTTTAACTCGCACCCACATACACTGCATGGCATTACTGTCATTTACAATTGAGATGCATGAAACAAGCCTATCGATTCTTCTAATTTTTTCCCCATCATTAATTTCTTAGTCTAACCAACTTTTCAAACTCCTTTCAAGAGGCTCGAAACTTTGGATGTTCCAAAAATGAATTTTCATCGAAGGCTTCGTTGCTGAATAACATACATGCATGTCTCTTTTAACAATCATGATAAAGCTAGTGAAGAAAATAAAACAAGATTATGAAAAGAGGTGTGGAGTTGGAATAATAGCAGGCACCTTTATTTATACTAAAAAAATACAACACACTGGTGCCAATTGAATTGGCGCCACCTTCTAAATAATACACACAACCCATAATTGGGTTAGAAATACCTAGTGCAGGTGCCAATATAATTGACGCCTTCTCTTTAACTTTAGGTGCATGCGGCAATTCACATGGCGCCAGTTCTTCATTGTTTTTTTTAAAGTGGGGTATATTGAGATTTTTTTTTGAAATGTGGGTTATTTTGGGATTTTTTATAAAACCGGGTTATATGGGTAAAAAATTCTCATTTGAAATTAGTCTCTAATCTTCCAGAAAAAAAGATAAAATACATTTAGACAAAAATAATTTCATTTAAAATTTTTGTTTACAAAAACATATTTTTAGTAGTAAATGTTTTCAACAACATTTTCTTCATCAACATGTTCTTCCTCGTGTTGTGTATTGTCCATAAACTTAGAGTTCATGAATGTAGCATAATCTTTATCATTGTGGGCTAGTATAACCTCACTTTCACTGGGGACACTAGTGCATGATGAGGAGGTTGTACACCTTCAAAATGATTAGTAGATTATGTATTACTCTCATTATTGATATGAGAAGGATTCATTGGACATGTTAGCATCATTGGTGTTAGGATCAAATATTGGGAGAATCCTTATTGAAATTATTGACACTTTTCTTTCTGTGCATACCGTTGTCCTTGTGCTCTTCTTGAGTAACTTTAGCTTTCTTACATTACGTGATCGAACGACCAACATTGTTGCAAAAATTACAAAAGTTAGAAAGATTTCCATATACAATATAAACTTAAAATGAATAACCACTCATTTCCACCTATTGGATGACAATTTGACCAATCCCCAGTAGATACACTAAAAACTTACCCACAACAGATAGGATAAAAACTGGAAAAATAAATACGAACATAGGCAAGGACAATTACCCTTTAAAATAAATAAATATGAACGCGGATGCAAATATCTTAGTAGCCACTCCACCCCGTATACTTGCATATATATATATATATATATATATATATATATATATATATATATATATATATATATATATATATATATATATATATATATATATATATATATATATATATATATATATATATATATTATGTGCCACTTCTAAAAATTTAATGTTATTTCTTTTACATATTGAGGTTGACGTGTCATCTTGATAACTACTCGAACAACAACTATAATTATATTTTTTCTTAAATTGATTTTACATTAAGCATAGGAGTAACGATAAAGGAGTTGAAAGAGGAAAGTGTGAAGAGCGAGGTGAGGTGAAGAAAAATGTACGGCGGTAGTCGGCGTGAAACCGAATCTGATACCCCCGTGATGCACAACGATGAAGATGAAGAAGACGAAGAAGGTTCCTTCAAGAGCTGGGCAAAACAAACACAAGAAAGTTATCAGTTACAGCTCGCACTCGCGCTTCGCATTTCATCTCACTCATCTTCTCCCTCTCAATCCAACTTCGCCTCTTCTCCTTCCGATTCCCCCCAATCTCTTTCCCACCGTTTTTGGGTATATTCTCTCTCAAATTTGCTGGAGGGATTCACATTTTCCAGCCTATCTAAACACAGTTTTTTCTTTTATCCTTTTCACCAGGTTAACGGTTGTTTGCAATACTCTGACAAAATTCTAGACGGTTTTTACCTAATTCACGGGATGGATTCATATACATGGACTATAAGCACGGATATGCAGAATGTTGGTACAATTCCATCTATTGAATCACTCATGTCGGTTAAACCATGTGATAACTCTTCAATTGTAGTCATTTCTATTGATAAATCTAGAGACCCTGCCTTCAGAGAATTGCAAACTGGGGTACTAAGTCTCTCAACTAACTGGATTACGATCAAACATGCAACTCATCAGCTTGCAAATCTTGTTTATAATAGGATGGGGTAAATTTACTTGCCTTCAATTTTTTTTTAAAATAATGACTAACATCTTTTTAACAAGCTTTAACTCTTGTCAATAGAGGAGGATCTTCCGACGAAGATAATTTAGGTACACACTGGAAGGAATGCTCTGAACTTCTTAAAAGCTGTCTACAGTCTATCATTCTTCCTATTGGAAGCTTACCTGTCGGCCTTTGTGTCCATCGAGCATTGCTGTTTAAAGTAATGTTCATTGTTTGTTTCATTATTTTTTACTCATTTTATGCCCATGACATTTTTTTCATTCAGTATCTCTAAAGTGAGCTTTTGCAAAATTAAAGTACCTCGGTGATGATTGCCAATTCTCTTTTAGTTCCTTATCTTAATATTTTATTATTTTCATTTCATAATTATCTTCCTTTTTTTTAGCATACTGCTGAAGTTTGGTTACATCTTACATGTGAATATCCTATAACAAATTTAATTACAGGTGTTAGCAGATTTAATCAACCTACCGTGTCGAATTGCTAAGGGCTGCAAGTATTGTAGAAAGGACACAGGTGCTTCTTGTATAGTGCAATTTGGTTCTGACAGGTCAGTCCGTTAATCATTGAAACTACATGGAAATTCAAATATGAATATTTTTGAATTATTTGCGAATTTGTTTGGGGGCTGTTAAAATGATCAGATTTTGAAGATGGGGGTTTTAGATTATTTCTGTTAGAAATTGGTGCTTTTGAATTTTGAAGTGATATTCAAGTATGGGTGGGTACATACATATATTGAGCTTTATCTTTTTTTCTTCTATGGGAAGACATAAATGCGACATTTGAGAGGCATAAGTAACCCATAACAAAGGGAGACGTTCTTCCAAGTGATTGACAAACCTAATATGTTCAGAAGAAAAATGGTTTAATTTTCATGCCTTATAATGCAACTTCTTTAAATCAAAGCCTTGGTATCTATGCGTCTCTTATACTTGCACACCTCCAAACACTTAGTCATGTCAGCAAAATCTAAAGGCTTATAAATTTTCAAATAAAATTGATTTTTGTTCCATACTCCAAGAAAAGTCAATTTTCCAATCTGCTCAAAAGTTTCTTCATCTTTTCAATTTCCTCCTGATTGAAATGCGCAAGTTCAACAGATTCATTCCCTTCACTTGTGCCAACAGTAGCAACATGAGCCTGTCCCCCTTTTCTTGGGAAAATCCTTTTGGGTCCCCATTCCCTATCTCGTTTTTGAGGTTTCCATGTAGTTTCCAACATTTCTCTATAGTATGGTGAGACTTATTACAAAAGGTAAAGGTACACCAGATTTCATCACCCTTCTTCTCCATATTTGTTGATTCTCCAATCCTTTTGTCAACACTCTTTGCTGCCCCTTCTCCTTTGTTAAGGTATGCTAGCATGGCGGAATTCTCCACTATTGGACTGTCTAACATCAGACTCCTTCTGCTCTCCTCGCTTCTCACAATAGATATCACTTCATCAAAGTTGGAAACTTTTTGTTTCCCTAAGGTTTGAATTCTGACTTTGTCAAACTCAGAGTTTAAACCAACCAGAAAATCATACACCCTGTCTTGTTTAATAAACTCCTTTAGAATTGCTGCGTCTGCAGTACAGTTGGTTTTTATGACCCTATAATGGTCAATTTCCATCCACAATGCCTCAAGCTGGTTGGGATATTCAATGATAGTTCTATTACCTTGTTTGGACGTCATAGTTTTCCCCTTTACTTCATATACTTGGGCAACATCTTTGGCCTTGGACTATGTTCCATTTACAGCATCCCAAATCTCCTTTGCTGTGCTGAGAAACATGCAAGTGTCACTTATCTCTAGAACCATGGAACTCCACAACCATGCCATAATTCCTTGTCCCATTTGGTGAAGTTGGATTCCTCCTCCTTAGGAGCAGGATCTGTTAGGTGCTTCACTTTTCCTTTCAGAATTGTACGAATGAGTTAGGGCCATTTGAGGTTATTTTTCCCATTCAGTCCGTGGGCAGAATGAATATTCTGCAGTTCTCCAGAGTTGAGGCTTCACAGCGGACAGAGGCACCCGAAACAGATGCTCTGATACCTTATGAGTAAATTATTTCTCATTATAAACATTGAAAGGTACCTGGAACATATATACTAAATTCCTATACCAATTGAGGAAATAGTAATTATGTTGTTCTAGTTGCAAATCTCTAGAACTAAAGAAAATTTTCTGATTATATCAATATGTGCATAAATAAGAAAGATATTACAAATTTTCTAAATCAATTTCTTTAAATACTGTGAGATTTCCCACTCCTATAATAATCCTTATTAAGAGGTCTAATAGAATCCGATGTACATCTTTCCAGGGAGTATATGATTGATTTAGTAGGAAGGCCCGGGGAAACATACCAACCTGATTCTTCAGTGAATTCTGCATCTTCGATGTTGATCCCTTCACCATTATGTCATCCAAGGTTCAAGCCAGTTGAAACAGCTGATTATACAAAGGCAATGGCCCAATTGTATTTCTTGGACAATCAAGCACTGCATCTTGCATTTGATACCACATCAGGTTGTTTCTTTTGCCTTTCTGGGTGTCTTTTTAAAATAAAGTAATTGTTGGGTGGACTTAGAGTACTGAGAAAAGTGAGGTAACCTTTTATTTGGGTATTTACTGAAAATAACTCTCTTTTTTTCCTTTCTCTTATTTTCATCACCTGGGCTTTTATAATTATATCTCTGAACTTTCAAATATTGACTGCTGCAGTAAATATTTGGTTTTCAGTGAAATGTTAAAAGTTACCGAAATGCAGGCAAATCATATGTTAAATTACATTATTTGGAATATTATTCTGTTATTCACAGCCTCTAGTCCTAATTATAAGAGCTTCTTTTGGTTTCATTTGTAAGAAAAAATTAAAACTTTTAATCAAATTTTAAGAAAAAATAAATCAAATTTTGATCACTATTATAAGCAAAAATAACTACTTTTGACTTATTTAATGCTATTATTCCCACCATAACCTTCATTTAATTAAAAAACATTTAATGGAAGTAGTTGAAAAACAAAGACAATTTAGTAAGTTTGTCTTATGTTTTACAAGAAATTTAGAAAATAAATTGCACTTAACATTTTTTAATCACCGTGAAAGTAGATGTATTTGCTTAGTATTTATTACATAAATGACTTTTGTATCCTAGTTTAAAATATTAGTCTTATTATATTAATATTAGTGGATGTTTCACAATTTTCCATGACCATGAGGGTGTATTTGGAAAAACAATATAGAAAAGCTACAACAATAAATAAGTTTATTGGTTTTGATTTTTCTTCTTATAATTGGGAGCAAAGGTAGTATTATAATGTTAAGTGCTATTGAGTTTCACTTGTATTAGATGTACTTGAGTTGCTTCTCCAAAAAAAAGTTGCGCGATTTAATTTTTCATATGTCAATGTAACACGTATTCGGTTTTGTTATTTAAATATATTCTACTTTATTGGAGGCTATTTTGTGTTTTATTATTAGTTTATCCCTTTCATTATAGGTCTTTTTTTGATTAAATTTCCCAGTAGAGTTTTGTGGATATTGTGTTGGCTTCATTTTCTGTAACAAACCTTTTTTAGTGTAATCCTTTGACCGTGTCTCTGCGCTTGGACTTTGGCCGTTTTGGTATTGTTGTTCTGTTGCTTGATATTCTCTGTTATTCTATATTCGTTGCTTCTGCCATATCAATAATCCTTAATATGTCATTATTATTTGAGGAAGAAAATGAAATTTTGAATATATAAAGGTTAATTAGAAATATCTAAAGTTTAACATGGTATCTGTCCCCATACTTATACACCTCTAAAATTGCTGATTTTCATCACGACAGGAGGTGCTGTTGATTGTAGTGGCAAAATGGATCTACAGCAAACTGAAATGTTAGGTGCAAACTATGCTGGGGGCAACCACCATATAGTTGCTTTGAGTAAGAATGAATTGTCTTTTCTGTCAATAAAAGGAGAAGGAGAAAGAATGAGCAATATCCTTCTCATTGAACAGATATTACCTACTGATATTTAATATGCCGAATCGGTTTTTTTAATAAATATATTCAAATGCCCTGTATTCTCTGTTTTCTGTGATAATGGCACTGGATTCTCCTAAATTGATATACCATCTCACGCAGGTCCCGGAGGTCCCGACATAGAGGAACATTTGTCTTTCAATGAATCAAACCAGTCAGGGGTGAATTATTCAAGTCATGAAGTTGACCTTGAGGAGGAGGATCTGGACATTCCGTGGAGTGAACTTATTTTGAAAGAGAACATTGGGACAGGTATTGTATTTGAAATCTTGTGCAAGATATATTGAGTAAAAAATTTCTGATCCTACACAGGCAGTCTCTGTGGCTAATATGAAACAGTAAAGTAAGAAGAGCAACAATGGCTGTTTTTCAGGGTCATTTGGAACTGTCCTTCGTGCGGACTGGCGTGGCTCTGTAAGTATTTATTTCTTCAAGTCTAAGCATATCAACATTCATGTTGTTGCTGCCATTCATTATTGTTAGAAAAATTGAAGAATGCGAATGACTAACTGAGTGTTTTTAGTCTTCCTATCTCCATACTTATTTATACTGAAAGATAAAAAACACAATATAGGACCGGACGAATAGAACTTATACAACAATTAATGGAGTAAATTTCACATCCTCCCCTCAGAGAAGTTTGAATTACACATCCTCCCCTCAGTGAATTACACAACTCTTTGTCTTCTTACTTCACTGATAAATTGGGCCACTTTCACCAAGAACATGGTGGCTATAAATGGTTCTCCTAGGGGATCTCTACACAGTCAACATCGAGAAGCCCTTAATAGAAGCATGTCCATGACCTCTGTACAGAAGACAACAATGCAAACTAGGTGAATAGCATCTTTGGCTTTTTTGATCGTGAGAATATCCTACGAAAATTCACCGGAGAGAATGAGTATCCAACTAATCGATTTGAGAATGGACATTTCTACGTAATGCACAGGCAATAAAAAAAAATAGGGGAAAGGAAAACACGGATTGAGGTGGAAAGAGGATGAAGTATGGGATTTGACCATCTATAACAAAAGAAGGAAAACAATCAATTTATTAACATGCTGTAGAAACTGCAACAATTTGAAAAGTTTGAGACTTTCTTTGAAGCAAAAGAGCCTGGGCAACTTGAAGTAAGCGTCTGATTTTTCTTTCAGTCTCCATATTTTGTTGAGAAGTGATGATACTAGGTGTTACATGAATGATGCTGATACTTTTGCACGGATGTGCAAAGCAATGTAGCATGAGAGTAATCATCGGCAGAGCTTACAAGTGAACAAGTAAAACAATGAGATGCAAACCCATTTATTGACTCTAGGTGGTTAAGTTTCTTAATGGTGTTTACTAACTAAAAAGTTGCACGATTTTAAACAGAAGAGGTCTCAAAAATGGGATACGGCTTCAAGGCATTTAGGGGACTATGTCCAAGATGATCATGTAGATGAAGAAAACAAAAGCAAAGAGAGCAGAGGACTGTTCACTCTGGAACTGCTGACTCCAAAAGTGAAGAAAGGACAACTTAGACTTGTGACAACTATTATTCCATTTTAAATGTTTTTATGCTCTTCTTTCTGCATTGGCTGGGGTTATATAGGGTACAATCCGATAACCAAATAAATACTAACTGTGTTCTCATTCAGGACGTTGCTGTGAAGATACTAAAGGTACAAGGTTTTGATTCTGAGCGATTTGAAGAGTTTCTAAAGGAGGTATTCATTATGATTTTCATTCAAATTCTTAGTTTTTTTCAGATTGAGTCCAGGGAACAGTTTCATTTTATATTTTCACATATTCATTTTTTTGTCCCCGTTGATTTTACTTCAGTATCCAGTTTATTTCATAGGTCACACTCATGAAGCGCTTGCGTCATCCAAACATCGTACTTCTAATGGGTGCTGTAATCCAACCCCCGAAGTTATCAATTGTAACAGAATATTTATCAAGGTGCAATAATGTCCCGTCACAATCATCCCTTTTTGTGGTTGGAAGTGATTTTAGGCTTAATGTTTTATTCTTAAGCAAATAATTTTCTTGAATTGCAGAGGAAGCTTGTATGAACTTCTGCAGATGCCAAGTGTTGGATCCTCAATCAGTGAGAAGCGTCGTTTAAGTATGGCATATGACGTGGTATGCCTTCATTGATCACTGCTGCTAGTCTTACTGTTTCCATTACTTTTTTTTTGTCATCAGACAGAAAATACCACTTTCACTAAGACTTTTTGAGATTTGATGTTTGTCTAGGCAAGTGGAATGAATTATCTTCATCAAATGAAACCTCCAATTGTTCATAGAGATTTGAAGTCTCCAAATCTTTTGGTTGATGATTCATACACTGTTAAGGTAACTAATATAAAATCAAATATGTTAGAGAATCTTATGTGACCATTTTCTGACTATTATTAATTAAACTCATTGTGAAGAGTTTATTTACACTTATGTAGATTTATGCCTATTTATTATGCTAATAACTAGTTGCCTAGAATAGAGCTAGATTCCTGGAAGCAAAATTGTCTATAAAGGAAACCAGGGAAAAAATTGTACACAGAAATAATTTGTCCTAAAACTAAGTCTTTGAACTCAATCAAGCAAATTATACTCTATTTCTTGCTCCTCCATGACCGAATTTCCACCTAGAAAACAGCAACATGATGTTTACTTTCTACGAGTATTTGAGCATACAAAATGAGCATTTGTCTTTCAGTTCCATGGATAAATATCCGCCCTTCCTAATTGTAGTCCTCTTTCAAACATGGTTTTAAGAATATTGTGGAACATGATCTAGGCCTGCAATGGCCTTACTTTGGATGGTCCATGAAATAGCATACAAAGAATTTACTTAATAGGTACACCTGTATAGCCTTACACCCAAACTTTCCCATCTCATTGAGAAGGTTCTAGACATTTGAAATTAATAGGGAAAATAGAATTGTATTATTACAATAGAGTGCACTTCTCTAATAGGAGAATTACGCATACTTTCCTTAAGAAAAAGAGCTGAATTGCCAATCTCAGGCTTCTTCTCAGTAGTCAAGTACCTCGGGAAAAGTCTCACATATAGCAGGCAAAGGACAGGTTTCCTTTGATAAGTGTAGATACCTTGCTTTGAAGGATACATTAATCCAAAGGAAGTGTTTTAGGGCCTGTTTGATTTATATTCTTATTTACTTTTTTGACTTTTAATTATAAAAATATCACATTGTTTTCATTTTATTTCCAATTTTCAAAATTTGTATAAACCATGAAAGCAACCACTCCCTCCACCCCCTTATTATAAACCCCCCTAAAAATTTCACACGTATTGAGAAAATTTTGGTTCTTCCTCTAATTGAATCGAATAGAAGGAACATCTCTTCCACTAAGTCTTCATGGAATAACTCAACCCATCCCATCACACCAAGGACTTGACATCTAAAGTGTAGACTATTGCGGGTGGAATAACTGATATCTCAACATGTATATCCATGTGCACCCAATAGCCTTTTGTTTCATAGTCTCTCAATACATGATAGTTAAAATTGTAATCATAATTGTGAGATAGCTTGATTCTGACTTTTGTCACACAGCAATCTCGGCCTTGCCCAAAAACATGATTTGGTAAGGTTGTATTGAGGTCTGGTGTTTACGTTTAGAATTAGTGGAATTTGATGCCGTCCACGTTGACTAGAGATATTGCCGAAGTAGTCTTTATAAGACTTGAACAATCCTCACCTCTAGAGCTGGATTTTTTCCGGATTCAATTAGACTCAACGCCCAAACTCCATGTGAAACAACCCCCCTATGTAGCATAAAACACTTGTCTTTTATATAGGACAAACTCAACAACTACACAAGTAATTTTGTTCATGGGCCATCCATGGTAACGTGAAGGACAATGAATTTCTCATTTAATAAACGTCACTTCTTCTAGCTAGGGAAAACTCTACAGTAAGCTGTTACTTACATGTTATGATGCTATCATCAATTTTAGTCTGGGATATGGTTTTCAAGGAAGGTCAATACCGAGGCGACTCAGCCAAATCAATTACTAAACTTGCTAAATGCAAGGCAACTCCACTAAAATTAGTGTATAAGAGGAAGATAAAACCTTAACTGATACAAACAAAAAGCTTTTGCCTAGGAGAGATATTCCTTGTACAACTCCTTGCATACATTTATGGATATATGGATCTATAGATTATGGTGTATCAACATTCATTTGTTTTTGATATTTACTCAGGTATGTGACTTTGGCCTTTCACGTACAAAAGCAAATACATATCTTTCTTCTAAAACAGCTGCTGGAACTGTAAGTTCTACTCCTCAACTGAAAAACGTTCTTTTTAATTTTTTTTCTTAATGTAAAATAATTTCGTTGGTTTCACATTCTAAATCAGCCTGAATGGATGGCACCAGAAGTCATCCGAGGTGAACAATCAAATGAAAAATGTGATGTATTCAGCTTTGGTGTAATCTTGTGGGAACTGGTGACCCTTCAACAACCATGGAGGCAGTTAAATCCTTCACAGGTTATTTGCCTTGTCATGACACTTTGGATTGTAAGCTAATCTCTAGAACACCATGCAGAGAAAAGATCTTGTTTGTCTCTATGAACTCTGATTGTTGAGAAAGTTCTCTTTATTAGTGTAGGTTGTTGCAGCTGTTGGTTTTATGGGCAAAAGGCTAGAAATTCCAAGGCATGTGAATCCCCAAGCGGCTGCCTTGATTGAGCTCTGTTGGTCTGCGTAAGTAAATTAAATAATTAATTTAATTATTGTTTTCTTAGATGAAGTTTTAAGCTTTGTTGTGCCTGTCTCATCCTACATTTAGGGTAATACCCTGGGTTCAATGAGCTTATACAGACACATACAGTTAACTCATTAACAATGGCCTTGGTAGGTTTAAAATCCCACCAACTAGTTAATGCAGTGTGCTCTTACCAATTAAGCCAACCATTGGCCAAATAATTATAATTTGTTGGTCTGCAATTTTTTGTAATACCTTGCGATATGGTTGAATATGAAATTAATAGTTTTTCACTGTAGGGATCCAAGGAGGCGGCCTTCTTTCTCCTACGTTATGAAATATTTGCTGCAAATAATTGCTGACGCGAAAGTGTGAACTAGTTCCCGCACATAAACATCTACCACTATATGAATGATAATATCAATATTGAACAGTATATACTTAGATTACAGTTTATTCAGGTGCGTCTTAATTTGAATTTATGTAAGTGCAGCATTTTGTTACTTATTTTTGTTTAATGTGGTACTCATAATTTCAAAATCAGAATCATTTGTGAACATAGTTTGCAATAAATTTGCAAATAAATTGAGCAATTCATGTTTTTGGTAAAAATGTACTACTACACCTTCAATTGACGATTAAGCTTCATAGTGCGTATATATTGTTGATAGTTTGTGTTTGGTTTACAGGATCTTGCTGAAGAGCTGAATTATACTGGTGGTTTAGAGAGCAGCAGACTACCTTTTAATGTTATATACATGATATACAATATCATTACTCACACTCTCATATTCTATCTTATTATTTGCTTTGACTGATGTATGTTGGTAATTCTTTTTATCATTCTTTTTGAAAATGCTATTTTTTCTCGACATTGTCATTACAATGGGAAGATAAATATGTAGATAAGGGCTCAATAATATTTTAATTGTCAATTCTATCCTCTCCCAATTATCTGCATCCCTCTAATCATTTCTCAACTAAACCTTTGCTTGACTAGTAATTTTGCTTCAACCATTTGAGAATATTTGATTGGTGAAATGATGTATCAACATGAACCAAATAAGTAATAATAGGCACAAACTGAATAGTATTTTGCCAGGTTTTGAGGTGGTGTGAGGGAGAAAGAGACAATGGCTAATGAAACAATCAACAATCACTCCAAGACATTTATCTCATCTGCTCCTCAAGTTCACTACAAAGCTGCATGCAATAAAACGTATTAGAACAAGACATTTGATTAATGAAACTATCGATAATCATCACTAAGCTTCATATAATGCCCAAGTCCTTTACATTTATGTTTAGTTGTAGTTATGAAAACAAGGGAAGAATTAGCTATCATTCTCGGAGAGATTCTAAATCTTTTAATTTCTATAAATTGACGAGTTTTTATTTTTCGCCTCTATATTTTGAATAAAGTCCTTAAGTATTGGATTTCATTTGATTTTAGTCCATAAAATTAAATTTGCAGATTTTAACTTTAAAACTAAAACTAATAGGATATTATTTCCAAGAAAGAAAGAAAATACAGGGGGAAAAAAACTCAGCAATATATAAGGACCAACCAAAAGATTATATAAGTCTAAAAATTACTAAGATGAAATTTGTGTTTGGAAGCACATTACAAGTAGAGATGACAATCAATATAGTTTAAAAATACCACATGGTAAGATAAACTGTGTGTTAGATATCACTTCACCATTGGAACTTTCGGGAGATTTTACAACAATGATGTGATTAATATATTGACCAAGAATAACTACTCAAGTAAGTTTGACACTGTATTTTCATTAAAAAAATTGAAGTCATTAATTTTATGAATTTTTTGTTTATATATTATATAACTTTCCTGCAAGATTTCTAACTCATAAATACACATACATCAAAGCATCAGAACATAAATTTAAAGACAAAAATTTATATTCAGAGTTAATCGATAATATATCTCAAACGAGATTGAATTTTATCTATCACAAAGTTCTTCGAACAAATAAAACAAATTTGCATAACTCTAAGAGTGACTATACACTTAGAAAAATATATGGTCTTTCTGTACTTGTTTAATATATAAAAAGATGAAATTTGATAGGCTTATACATATGGATGAGGTAAACACAAATTGAAAAAAAGGCTTCGATTTGAAGATGATGGAATAATTTATGATGGTAAATCAAATATTTCAGTTATGGCTAGATGAGAGGTAATTAAATAGAGGTTTTTGAAAACTGATTGTAACATGAAATATTGTAGCATGAAGTTGTACATCAAAGAGGATATGGGCAAGATAGACCGACTAAAAAAACTACAAATATGAAATCACCTATGAAACCAGTAAAAATTAAGTGTGCGCCAAAGGATGTCAAATCAACTCCTAATGATAATTCTTCCAAACAATCACCATCATTATTTAAGCATGTTGTCTCACTTTATCGTTGTCTCACTTTATATGGATTTTCCTTTTTAACATTCCAAACAAAGTTTTAGCAATGGTGCTCGCATTAGTAAACCATCTCCCCCAACACTTCTATCAAAAAATTAAATGCATTGAAAAAATGATCGTTTTTATGCACAAATACATTAATAATGTTGTAGATGTTAAAGATGATGATAACTGCGAATTTCACGTTGTTTTAGCCTTAGCAGGTTTGGGAGCGAAGAATCATACATTTGTTAGTCAACACATTATCAGTATTCGAGGATCTCTCCTTAGTGTTGGCTTCATATACAAGTGGAGTACTCTATTGGATGTAATTGTATGACGTACCCTATGAACTAGAAGCTGACACATTATGTACATCCTCTAGTACCAAATACCCATAGTATTCCGTAAATATCCAATCAACATATCTACAATACACTATGGGAGACACAACTAATGACGAATCCCTATGAATACTTTGCAAATACTTGAAGCGCCTTAATACTCTCTTAGTAGACATGGGTACTAAAGTTGAGACATGCGATCCAGTCAACCATCATACCAACAAATATCCATTAAAAATCGTGTTTGAGGGTGCTCACTATATGATGTGAAGCAAATATCTTCTGCCATTATGTGGTAAATATCGTGTCTTTTTAATTCATTTTCCAAATGGCCCATATGTGAATTAATAATCATACAAGCACACGATAACTCTATTATAGTCGATAAAAATCTGACATCCAACAATTCAGAAAATATTGGAGGATTCATGATGGAAAGATAATTTAGATAAAATCATTAATATCTACATATAAAATTTTCAAAAATGCTATAAAATTAAAGCTATATATAGTTTATAGTACAATGTCATTTGTCTTATCCTACAATGACTTGCTTTATCTATTTTAAAATACATGTAAGTCAAACAAAATGCTCTCGAAATATACTCGTGAAGTTTTTCAAGATCTATTAAGTAATTAATATAAACAACATCCACATAGATCCCACTTTTGTCCACAAATAAGATTGTACCAACTAAATATAAAAAAATAAGTCATCAACGCACATTTTCTATGATAAACAACCAGTGTATCACTACCCTCATGAGTAACTTCAATAGACAAATGAGCCACATAATTATTCCTTAGAAATGAAAATTGTGAATGTTCTCCCCGCGTACTGACAACCTCCTCTTGAGCCTTACTCGAATCAACTCTTAAGTGTGTAATTATTAGATCTAGTGCATCAAATCTTTGAATTGGCAACTGTAATACGGTGGGAGAACTGACTTTTAGGTTTTGCGTTTTATCGCAAATGTTGCGGATAGCAAGAGTCGCCACCGACTTTTTTTTATCCAATAAAGGAAATGGTGAAAAGAACAGGAAAGACCTTTGAGAATTTTCTTGAGTTCGGGGGGTAGGTTATGAAAAGGGAAGGTGTTAGCACATTTTTCATCCGTAGTTATCTACGGGCTCTTAATTTCTAGCTCACTTTGAAAATGCTTTGTGTTTTGTGTATGTTTGCAAATATTTTGAAAATGCCTAAGTGCGACAATTTTGTAATGATTCTCGCATCGTTGAGAATGTATATAAAATGTTTGTTTTGAAAATATTTGTTGAAAGGGAGTATTTGGAAAGATGTTTTGAAAATTCCAATGTAAGACAATTTTGTAATGATTCTCGTATCGTTGAGAATGTATATAAAATGTTTGTTTTGAAAAGTGTTTTGAAAAGTGTTGTTTTGAAAGTGTGAAGTGTGAAAATTGTTTTAGTTTGTGAGCAAGCGGTTACGGGCAATCTACCTACTCAAAAAGTCTTTGTTCTTTTTCTCTTTCTTTAGATAGTGTTATCCTACCATTAGTTAGTAGGAAACCATATCATTGGATATGAGGGACAGACGTGGGTTATTATACAGTCATATAAGGCAACTTGAAGGACCCTTTAGCAATTTTCGTAAGGGACTAAGATCGTTTACCGAAGGCAACATCGAAGGGTCATTGAGGGACTAAGATCTTTTAATCGAGGGTCTTTGCTAAACTAAACTCATGTTCGAGGGACATGACTGTTTAAATCCGAGGCAATAAGTGAGGGTAACCCTAGAGGTGCAAGTGTGCAAAGTGTTTTGATTTCAAGTATTTGTCTTTGAGATTAGGTTTTCTAGTGATTGATTTTAATCTTCCCATACAAACCCTAATTACTAATAATAATAAGGAAAACTATAAATTGCGGAAATTAAATGCCTTACGCTATTACAATGCTTTGGGAATGGAGGATACAAATTTGTGAATGGGAAGGAAAGTAATAAACTCTAATTAAACTATTACAATCCATAAGCAATTACACAACTATGAAAATAATGATGTGAAAAATAAACAAATGTGTGGAGATGGTGAAAAGGGAAAATATTTAAAATCCTAATAAATTTCTAAGTATTAAAAATGTTTTGTTGTTTCTTTGTTTAGAAAGTATTTGAGATGTGAGATAAAAAATTAGACCTAATTCTATTTACAAATTAATTATTTACAAGGAAATAAGGTGTGATTAAATAATCTTTTATTATCAAAATTAAATTATTTAAAGTCTAAAGAAATCTAAGTATTTAGAAAAGTATTTTTGGAGTTTTATTTAGAAAAAATATTTGAAGTATAACCTAATTCTTAAGGTGATTAAAATAAATCAATTTTGTCAAAAATTGAATTAAATAATTAAAAACCTAAATCTAAATTTTATAAGAATAAACATTAAATTTTTGTATTTTAATTAAATGAAATAAATAAATAAAAATAAAGAAAATAAAATATAAAAAAGATTGGGCCTGGCGTTAGTAAAAGGAAATTAGGGGGTGAAAAGAAAAATGTTAGGCCCAAATAATCAGTTTTTGTGAAACAGAAAAGAAAATAATAAAAAAAGGTAATGGGCCTGATGTTATAAAAAGAAATTAGGAGGGTAAG